CATCCCTCACTCGCACGTTTCTCCTCTCCTCCTGACTTGCATGTTTCTCTGCTCTCACAGATCATCGATTCATTCGAGATGCTCGAGGGGGACTATTGGGTGGTGGACTATCTGTTAACTGAGCTTTCACCGTGTTTTTTCTCCACTTGCATAGCCCTTTCCCAGGCGGCACAGACTCATTCGAGATGCTCGTGGGGGACTATTTGGTGACCCCTCTCTGTCAGGTGACCGAAGGTAACACCTCTCTTCTTCCCGTCCCTATCCATTGATGGGATGCAGCTTAATCTGGGGGTTTCAACCCCCCTCTTGCCTCGCAATCGCCTTATCTTGCGAGATTTACCCCCCCTCCCATGGCTTGCCATCATCTTACTTTGGGCGCGTCACCCCTCTCTTTGCCACGCCTTTTCCTTCCTCTATCCTCTGCCCCTATCTCTTCCTTCGGGGGCTGGAAACCCTCGAGGGAAAGGGGAGCTAGGCCAAGAGTCAGGGCCGAATCTGCCAGGGTTTCAACATTGGGTGGAAGAGGAGGGGGCTGAAACCTCTAAGGTGATTGAGTGGGAGAGAGGGGGGCTGAAAACTCTAAGGTGGGTCAATGGCAGGAAGGGGATTGAAACCCATAAGAGCGGAAGCGGGTGGTTGAGCCTAGAGCTCCACATGATCAGCATCAAATGTTGATTTCAGTGGGTGGGACCAGGGAGGGGGTTCGAACCCCAAGTTCCAAAATGATGCAAGGGGGGGGTTTGGACCCAAGGTTACACACTGATGCAAGGGATGGGGTCTCGACACAAGGGGGGGTTTCGGTAGGAACCCAAGTTTTGGGTGAGGAAGGGAGGGGTTTCAGGCCACAAGTTACAAGTGTGGCATAGGGGTGTACTCTCACGGCCCCACCCCACTCCAAGCCCACCCCCCAGCACTCTCTTCCCCCCATCATTGTAGAATCAGACCACACACATGCTAGTCGTGGAATTCTGGTTCGCATTGAGTGCTCAGGTAAGCCCCCAGTGTGGCCTCACCTCACTTCTCGCTTGGCAGTTCTTCCTTCCTATGGTATCTTGACTGCCCCCAAGATATCTTGACTTGGCCCGTGAGTCGCATCCTCGACTGGTCCTTTCGGTCTTGCGTGTGCGTTTGCATGCGTGGCACATCACAAGCACAACACTGCACTGTCAGCACGAGCATGGTGACGGGCAAGGCAACGGGGATTTTGGCGGCAGATGTTGAGACAACAGGTGCAGCTGCTGCAGGGGCGCTCGCTCTCTTGTCTCCTTTGGACAAGTAAAAGTCCTTTGGACAAGTCTCCTTTACCGACTCACCATTTTGGTCTCTGATCTGGACAATTCGTTCGCATGATCTCAGTGTATGGTCCTTGTACGTACGAGTTTTTTTTGTGTAGTGCACAATCATGCACTGACGGTTGTGCAATGTATCATTGGCTTTCAAAGCATGTGTCTTTGAAGGGTTCACCACGAATCAGAAGTAACGTGTAGTGCAGTGCCATGCAACAAAGCTGCTGCTGGGTGGGGTGGGTCCAGGCCTCAGGATATCAGGGTAAAATACCCTTACTATATGGCTGGGGTTGGTGTTGGACCCTTATTTTTGAAAGTGGTTTAGTTTTTGACCCTTATGAAAAAAACTATGTCAATACCGGACCCTGATTTTCAAAAGTGGTGTAGCGTTAGCACCCTGATGCGAAAAAGTGCCTTTACGAAAGACCCTGATGTGATTCTACATGCAGCCCCCCCTTTGGTGGCAAGATTTTTCCCCCGAGTCACGCCGCAATCAGCGCCATTACTGCTCTGTGCTGGCGCACGTCAACGAGACTGCTCCTGCATGGCAAAGTGTGCGGCATTCTAGGAAAAGACAAACCAATCAGCGTCAGGGGTCGCAGCGCGCATGGACAGCGCAGCAGCAAATGGTTCTGTGGTGCCCTCTTCTGCAGGCAAACGACCTGATTGGTGGAAAGAAGGGGGCACAACTGTCGATCCCCTTCTCCTCTGTTCGGGGCACCACTTCTTCTTCTGTTGTTTCTTTCAAGCTGTTCTTGATAGCACCGAGATACAATCTGTTCTGTGTTTGTATCTCTCACCTGCTTCCCATATTCCTCTCGTTGTGACGACAGCCATGCCTCCCGATGACGGCGATGAGGAGGAGGGTGGTGGGCGGAAACGCACTCTATCCCCTCCACGATCAGCCCTTATTTTCCTCCGTTGCGCACCATTCATAGTCGCTCAGCCGTGCCCACCTCCAACCTCCCCTTGCGTTGGGTCACCTCCTCTGACCGAACCCATAGCGGATGTCCCTGAGCGTACACCCCCATCTCCCGCAGCTCTACCAATTTCCGCCTCTGGGGGTTCTCCTGCCCCTTCCCCAACTGCTGTGGGCTTAACGTCGTTTTCCGCGAAGCGGAAAGTGAGCAGCCTGTAGCAGAAGTGGCAGCAGCAGCGTCTCCTCTTCGCTCAGTCAACGGCAAACTCTCCTAAATGAGTACGAGGGGCTCGACAAGAGCATGCTACATCTCATCACCAGGGCATGTCTTTTCGACCTTAGTGCGTTTTTTTCCAAGTACCGAGCGAGCATACTGTATTAATGGTCCATGCGATGCAATATCTCTGATTACTCTCTTGTTTCATCATGTTTATGCTAAGCAGATACGGATTCAACGAGTTGGTCGAGGCCACATCGAAGTACCTACGAGAAGAGCAGCTGAAGAATATCGCCAACAACCCTTACCTCGGCATCGCTATTGGCGAGAGCATAGACCGTGTCAGAGGGAAGCATCTGATAGTATATGTGACTTACATCAAGGATGGATGCGTGCGTACCGAGTTCCGAACGCTCCTCACCGTGCAAAAATGTGATGCAGCAAGCCTCACTGAAGTTCTTGAGACTTACCTGCGATCGGTCGGCATCGACTTGGAGAAGATTGTCGGGATAAGTACGGACGGCGTGTCTGTCATGGTAGGCGAGCACAAGGGCGTCGTCGCACGGTTGCGTGTTAAGCTTCGGCACCTATTGTCATGCCACTGCATCGCCCATCGGTGAGTTGACTCTGGTGTTTGGTGTCCCTCATGCCCATCGCCGCTAGACCGGCCGCCCGCATGCCAACCTGTGGCGCCCCTACCCCCCCCTCCTTCCCCTGTGTCCTCTTCCTTTCCGCAGACGACGGCTGACTCCCGCCGGCCGTCCCACCGTCGCGGGGCCTGGCCACGTCACCGAGAGGTGCGGGCGCCGCCGCCGCCGCCACTGTTGTCAAAGCCGCCGCCGCCACCGCCGCTGTTGCCGCTTGCGTCGGGGCCACGCAGCCGCACGCCGCCGCCGCCGCCGCTGTCGACACTGCCGCCGCTGCCGCCGTCGCCGCCGCAGCCCCTGTGGTCGACGTCGCCGCCTCACGCGCCAAGTGGTCGACCGAGCTAGTGTCGCTGTCACTGTGGCTGGAATGGGGGTGCTAGGTTAGGGGGTGTGGGTGTGTGTGGGCTTGTGTCTACCAAGCCTAGGGGGTGTGTTAAATTATATATGTTAGTAGTATATAATTGTAGGCTTGGTACGCTTACTGAACTTTATTGTAGAGGGTACAACACCCCTCCTTGTATCCCTTTTTCTATTCTGATTCTCTTTTCTCTCCTGAACTTTCCTAGCACCTAAAACCTCTCGCCATTTCCATGGCTCCTCCTAGCTCCTAGCTAAACCTCATGCCATTTCATGGCTTCCTAGCTAAGCTAGTCTTGTGACAACGTTCTACTGTCTCACACCTGGTATGCGTGTTCCCTTCCCCCCTCCCTGCCAGTGAGTTTCTGGCAGCCAAAGACGCGGCGGCGAAGGTTAGAGACTTCTCCGTCATCGACCAGGTCATCAGAACCATCTCTGAACTGCTGTCAAGGAGCGGGATCTGGCACAGGCGCTTCAAGAAGCTGCAGGAAGAGCCGTGTGACACGAATCTGGAGCTCTAGGGAATATATGACGTCCGCTGGCTTTCACGGGGGAGCGCGGTGAAGTGGTTCACACAGCTGCTACCGGCTGTAGTTGTGCTTCTGCACGAGTATCAGCATGAGCTCTACGGACGTGTGAAGAGTTTCAAGTTTCACTTCCTCGTGTACTTCCTGGCAGATTTGCTGGAGGTCCTCAACGACCTCAACACGAAGTTTCAGAAGAAGCAGGTGAGGTTTCTGACGGCAACGGCCTCGTATTTGTTTAACCACATGCCCTGATTGTTGTCGTTCTTTCTCTGCTTTACACCAGACCTCAGGTGGACATTACACTGGTCGCTGACGAGGTTAGCCTGGTGTGCAGAAAGATTGACGTCCGCCATCGACTGCGAAAACGCTTTCGGCAAGGACTCCAAATCCTATCCAAAGGCCTGGGTGGGTCCCTCTTGAGCAGGGCACATGTTAACAGGGTGATTCACCCTGTTTACTCTGATTTTCAGGGTGTTCGGTGTGTGTTAGTCTGATTTTTCAGACTGAAGTAAAAATCTACCCTTCCGTTTTCAGTGTACACTTTCGTTTCGCCCTTTGAAATCTAGAGTGGCTTCGCTCCCCGCTCTGTGTAGAAAGGGTGACCCTAAAATTTCCCCGGACGAGCGAGTGCTGTACTACAACCCCCCAGCCTGTCCCCTCGATACCTGCCGGTGCTGGGCTGCCTCAAGACAGAGAACGTTGCACGTGTGTGTGAACTGTTTACAAAATTGATTGGACCAATGGACTGAGTTGAGAGAGCGCCAAGCCAACTGCCAACTGTACTACCTCGCAGACCCTGTCGCAGTGCGCAGCAGAGGCCTTTCGCGCAGCAGAGGCCTTTTGCACAGCAGAGGCCTTTCGCGCAGTAGAGGCCTTTGGTGCAGCAGAGGCCTTTCGCGCAGCAGAGGCCTTTCGCGCAGCAGAGGCCTTTTGTGTGTTACTGTCGTTGCAGTAGTTGCGCCGGGCGCATCCAAACCTGACTGAAGTGATTTGCTGTATGCTCGGCTTTGTAAATCGCTTGCCAATGACTTTCATACACTTGTCATCACATTCCCTTTGCGCGAGTGTTTACACGTGTGCGCTGCTGTGACGCAAACTGTGCCCACACACCCATAGCAGGTAGAGATTTCGTCAGAGTAACATTAACTCCAACCCTGTTTGAAAAGGGTCGCAGTTTGAAACACCCTGTATAAACTAGGGTGCCCATGCACGGTACCCTGATGCCTAAGGGTAGGGGTGGGAGGGTGCCCTGACTAGAAAGGCTTCCCAAAACCTTAGCCAGAGCCCCGCTCTTGAGGCAATTAATGCAGCTCATGCAGCTTTTACTGCACCCCCGTGTACTGGCTACCTGTAAACGTGTAAGTAGGGTATGATGATTAAACCAACCAATCAGAGCAAAGGTTGCCACAAGCGACAAGTTCCTCAGCCACAGTGGTTATTGCGCAGACCAGACGTCAACCGATACCATGCACAAGAGGGATGGATGGAATCCTAGGGGAGATGGAACCCAGGAGGGACTAGGAGGAAAGGCGAGGATGGGGGTTAGGGAAGAAGCAGCTGGGTGGAGGGTGGGAGGGGAGTGGAAGGGAGAGGCGGAGTGCGGCACTACCAGTTGGTCCACCTGTCCATCCATCCACCTGCATACCACGTGGTCAGAGAGATAGAGCACAACAGCAATTACTCAGAACTGCGGGGCACTGAGGCAAGAGCCTCACGGACACGGAGGCATGTGAGAGAGAAAGAGAGAGCAGCAGCAGCAGAGGCGATGGTGGAGGATGTGCGGCACGGTACGACTGCAGCACATGTAGCGAGGGGTGTTCTGACCTGCGGGTGACTAACAGAATGGAAGAAATATGAAGGCGCAACTACAGAAACAGCAGAGGGTGAGAGGAGGGAAGGGGGAGGAGGGGGGAGGGATGGAGGAGGCCTCGGTTAAAAAAGCGAGGATGGTGAGGCCTCACACCTGGGAAGCGGCGGATGAGCAGCTTGCGCAGCTGAGAAATACTTGGATTCAATCCGCAGCAAGCGCTCTCAGAGTGCGTCTAAAGCTAGAACTAAACCGCGGCGCGCACCTGGGAAGCGGCGGATGAGCAACTTGCGCAGCTCGCCGATGGCGAGGATGGTGAGCGCAAAGGGCAGGCCGATGAGCCAGTAGAGCACGTTGAGCGGGCGTGTGTCAAACACCTCCTGCAGGAACGGCCAGTACAGCAGCGCCGCCGCCACCAGCGTCTCAAAGAGCAACGAGAAGTTGAGCACGTGGTTGTGCATGCCCTGCAGGGCGAGACATGGGGTCCGGAGGATGGAGGTGGAGGTGGATGGATGGATGGATAAATGGGGAAGTGGGGGTAGCAAACAGGAGTAGTAAGTGCATGCTCCAGAGCACAGATCACTGCAGTCGTGTGTAAGATGCAGGCAGACGGAAGACACACCTCCAGTAAAACACACAGCTACTGAAACACAGCACCCTAGAGCCGGCTACATTCCCACACCTGCTGGAACACTGAAAGGCGGCGGGTCTTGCAGACGACGAGGTTGGCCCACTGCGTGACGATGACGGCGAGGAAGTAGGCCGACTGCGCGTACCGCAGCACCTCCACCTGGTACTGCGTGTTGGGCTGCAGCTGCCGCCGCCCCCCCCACCAGTACCACCCGTTGTACGGCCCCAGGGGCTTGCCCAACTGCTGCCGCCCCGGGAACCCCACCTGGGGGGGGGGGAGAGTAAGAGGTTGGGGGAGATGGGTGGGGAGTGAGGGGGGGCGGGGTAGAGATAGAGGATCAAAGGAAGAGGGGTAGAGAGGGCGATGAAGGGAACCGAGGGTGATATGCAGAGAACACAACAGGAGCGAGGGGGCAGACACAGAAGGTTGTTCTGCAGAAAGGAGAAACAGTCATTGTGGCAGAGAGGCAGTGAAGCAGGTCCACAAGCAGAGACTCACCTGGGAGGAAATGGCCGGGTTGGAGCACTGAGGCGGCAGCACGCCCCCAGGGAAGGCATAGGCGGACGTGTTGCAGGTGAGAGAGCAGAACTGCTGCCCCTTGAACCCCCCCGCTCCCATCTCACTGAACGGGTCCACCACGACACGTGTCGCGTTGCCATTGGGCATAGGGCAGCCCTGGTAGCAGTAGGGCTGCGCTGCGGGCGGCGACGAGGTGTCGGGCATGCCGAGTGAGTAGACGGGCGGGCCGCAGCCGTAGCCGCAGTCGTAGGGCTCGCTGGCGCTGTTGAGCGTGCAGATGATGGGGCTGTGGGCGAAGTCAAAGCCGATGCGCAGCAGCATCTGGGGGGGCAGAGGTGGGGAGGGGGGGAGGGATGGGATGGAGCAGGTTGGGTTGAATGAGGATTCCTAGGGCTATGAGGGGTTTGTCGCTGTGCATGGTGCACTGTGGATGGCTTGAAGAAACGTGACAAAAGACACAAGGGGGAGAAGAGAATGAGGGAAGGATGGGAAAGGGAGTGGTTGGGGGGGGCGTGCAGTACATTGGGGCGGTAGCCATAGTCGTTGAAGACAGCGAGGAAAGCGAGGAAGCCGGCGAGCGTCTGCACGACGCCGATGATGAGGTACGCGTGGCTGATCAGCCGCCAGCTCACCAGCCGGTCCCTCTTCGGGTTCCGCGGCGGGCGGTCCATGATGTCCGACTCCTGGAAGGGAGAAGGTGAGGCGGGGACGGAGGTGCAGGGGGGACAGAGGTGAGGAAGGTGGGAAAGGGTGGGAAGGGTGGTGGGAGAGAAAGGCGAGGCACAGAAAACAGGGGAGATGGTAGGAGGGAGGTGGAGGCAGGAGAACGGCTGTGAGGTCGCAGGGGTATGGTAAGGGACACCGCAAGTCCTAAGCTGCCTCAAATCGCAGCATCCCCCTTTCCCGATCACGCCCCCTCCGCACCCCCACACGCACCCACCATCTCTCCTATACAGCCCAGCGGGATAGCCGGCAGCATGTCGGTGCCAAGGCGCATGGCAAGGTCCGAGGTGCCCCACAACCCCGCGTCGCTGCTTCCAACCATTCCCCTCTCCCCCCTCCTCTCCCCACCCTCTCCCTCTCCTCTCCAACACCTTCCCTCTCGTACCCCTGCGCTCTCACCTTCTCCTCATAGGCGAGCGAGATGGCGGGCAGCATGTCGGTGCCAAGGCAGATGGCAAGCATGAGCACGGTGGAGAGTGCGAGCGGCACGCCGAGCAGCACGTTGACGAGGTAGGGCACGAGCTCGGGGATGTTGACGGTGAGCGCGTAGCAGATGGTCTTCTTGAGGTTGTCGAAGATGAGCCGGCCCTCCTCCACACCGCTCACGATGGACGCAAAGTTGTCGTCCATGAGGATCATGTCTGCCGCTTCCTTCGACACGTCCTTGCTGGTGGGGGGGAGGGGGTAGAAAGGGGGGGGGGAGAAAGGGGAGGGGGGAGAAAGGGGGGGGGGAGAAAGGGGAGGGGGGAGAAAGGGGGGGGGGAGAAAGGGGAGGGGGGAGAAAAGGGGGGGGAGGGGGGGGAGAAAGGGGAGGGGGGAGAAAGGGGAGGGGGAGAAAGGGGGGGGTGGAGAAAGGGGAGGGGGGAGAAAGGGGAGGGGGGAGAAAGGGGAGGGGGAGAAAGGGGAGGGGGGAGAAAGGGGAGGGGGAGAAAGGGAGGGGGAGAAAGGGGAGGGGGGAGAAAGGGGAGGGGGGAGAAAGGGGAGGGGGAGAAAGGGGAGGGGGGAGAAAGGGGAGGAGAAGGGAGGGGGAGAAAGGGGAGGGGAGAGAAAGGGGAGGGGGGAGAAAGGGGAGGGGGGAGAAAGGGGAGGGGGAGAAAGGGGAGGGGGAGAAAGGGGAGGGGGGAGAAAGGGGAGGGGGGAGAAAGGGGAGGGGGGAGAAAGGGGAGGAGGAGAAAGGGGAGGGGGGAGAAAGGGGAGGGGGGAGAAAGGGGAGGGGGGAGAAAGGGGAGGGGGGAGAAAGGGGAGGGGGGAGAAAGGGGAGGGGGGAGAAAGGGGAGGGGGGAGAGACGAGAGAAATAAGGAGGGTGAAGAGGAGTTAAAGAGGGAAAGGAGCAAACACAGGGATTGGAGGAGTCGGAGTTGGGGGCTGCTTTCGAGGGAGGTGGATGGAACAAAGAGAGAAATTGAAGCTGTAGAGATGAGTGGAAACGCAGTGACGTGTTGATCAAATGAGGGCACGGGCATGCAACGCAACATGGAGAACAGGGCATGCAGTGGTCTGCCCACCCGCCAATGCCCATGGCGATGCCGATGTCGGCCTTCTTGAGTGCAGGAGCGTCGTTGACCCCGTCCCCTGTGACCGCTACTATCTCCCCGCGGCGCTGGCAGTGCTCCACCAGCAGCAGCTTGTGCGACGGGGACACACGCGCGAAGATGACCTGGTGGGGGGGAAGGGAGGGGGGGGGAGGGGAGGGGAGCGGGTGGTGCAGGGACGAAGGAATCGAGGGAAGGGCGCGAGGGGGAGAGAGGAGAGAGTGAGAGGAAAGGCCACAGTGGAAGGTGGTATGAGAAGGAACGATTATTCCAAATTCTAGAGGACGGGACAGTAGACAGAGTGAGTAGCGGTGCGAGTCAATATGCTGCAGATATGCAACCAGTCGATTGCAGGTGATGTGGGTTGGTGAGAGGGAGAATGAGAGAGAGAGGGAGCGAGACCTGGTCATGGGAGAGGGCCTCGTCCCACTTGGCAGTCTCGTCCCTGGGGCTGAGCGCACTCCACGCACGGATGTCCTCGCCTGTCACCACAGCCGCACTGCCCGATTCCACCTTGCCTGCATCCAGTATGCCCACCTGGGGGGGAGAGGGGGAAGGGGTGGGGGGAGAGAAAGGGATAGGGGAGGCGGTGAGGCAGTGTAGAGCAAGGAGGAGGGGCGGACGGGGGGAAGGAAGGGGAGGCGACGGAGACTGGAGAAGATGGCCGTGGCAAGCAGGGTGCAAGGAGCACACAGGAACGCAGGCAGGGAGGGAGGCAAGCAGGGAGGTAGGGAGGCAGGGAGGAAGGGAGGCAGGCAGGGAGGCGGTGCGGGGGGCACCTTGGTGGCGATGGCGGTGGCGGTGATGGGGTGGTCGCCCGTGACCATGATGACCTTGACGGCGGCGCGGCGGCACTGCGCCACGGCCTCCACCACGCCCGGGCGCGGCGGGTCCATGAGGCTCACCATGCCCACGAACGTCAGCCCGTCCGTGGGGAAGTTGGGCCGCGGCTTGTGCGAGAACTGGCGGGGGGTGGGGGGGGGAAGAGGGGATAGACACGCGGGATGCGCAGAGGTGAGACGAGGAGGTTGGAGCGAAAGAGCATGTGGGAGGGGAATGGGGCAGCAAACAACGGCAGCACGCAACAGCAGCACTGCACAACACCGAAAGATAGCGTGGCGGCAGGAACGGAAACGACAATGGCGCTGGCGATGGCAACAGTAGCACACAGCAGCACAGCTAGGTACACCAGCCAGAGCAGCGAGGGCCGCTTCACAGAAAAGTTGTCGGTGGCGCCCTCTAAGGTCCCTGCCCCTCCACGCAGGTCCTGGGATTCTGAGAATTCTCAAAGAATAGACGCCATCCTCATCATGCACTCACAGCGAACTCGTTTTTGAAGCCCTCGAGGTCGCGGAAGGCCATGCCGAGCACGCGCTCCCCGAACCCGCCCATCTGCTGGTACGCCTCTTGGAAGTGCCGCCGGCTGTCGCTGGTCAGGTCAAACACCTGCCCGTTCACCAGGATGTATGCGCACCGCTCCAGGACTTTTTCCGGTGCGCCCTTCATCACCAGAATTGGGGGCAGCCGGTTCTGCGCTGACTGGCTGTGGTGTGGGGGGTGGGAAAGGGAGGGGAAAGAGCACAGGGGGAGGTTCAAGAGGCGGAGAAGCGGCAGGAGGCGGGGGAGGGGGGGGTTGGGGTGGGAAAGCAGCAGGAAATGGAGGCACGAACCAGCGAGGAATTCAACTGCCTACGGGCGGCGGGCGTAAGGGCAGGGGGCAGGGTGATGGCAAACCAGTGGAAATCCACTCGGGGTGGTGGCAAACCAGTGCAAATCCACTCGGGGTTGTGGCAAACCAGTGGAAATCCACTCGGAGTGGTGGCAAACCAGTGGAAATCCGCTCAGGGTGGTCGCAAAACCAGTGGAAATCCACTTAGGGTGGTGGCAATCCAGTGGAAATCCACTCAGGGTGGTGGCAAACGAGTGGAAATCCACTCGGGATGGTGGCAAACCAGTGGAAATCCACTCGGGGTGGTGGCAAACCAGTGAAAATCCACTCGGGGTGGTGGAAAACCAGTGGAAATCCACTCGGGGTTGTGGCAAACCAGTGGAAATCCACTCGGAGTGGTGGCAAACCAGTGGAAATCCACTCAGGGTGGTGGCAAACCAGTGGGAAAACACGCAGGGTGATGGCAAACCAGTGGAAATCCACTCGGGTGGTGGCAAACCAGTGGAAATCCACTCGGGGTGGTGGCAAACCATTGGAAATCCACTCGGAGTGGTGGCAAACCAGTGGAAATCCACTCAGGGTGATTGCAAACCAGTGGAAATCCACTCGGAGTGGTGGCAAACCAGTGGAAATCCACTCAGGGTGATTGCAAACCAGTGGAAATCCACTCGGAGTGGTGGCAAACCAGTGGAAATCCACTCAGGGTGATTGCAAACCAGTTGAAATCCACTCGGGGTGGTGGCAAACCAGTGGAAATCCACTCAGGGTGGTGGCAAACCAGTGGGAAAACACGCAGGGTGATGGCAAACCAGTGGAAATCCACTCGGGTGGTGGCAAACCAGTGGAAATCCACTCGGGGTGGTGGCAAACCATTGGAAATCCACTCGGAGTGGTGGCAAACCAGTGGAAATCCACTCGGGATGGTGGCAAACCAGTGGAAATCCGCTCAGGTTGGAAATCCACTCGGGTTGGTGTCAAACCAGTGGAAATCCACTCGGGGTGGTGGCAAACCAGTGGAAAAGCACTCGGAGTGGTGGCAAACCAGTGGAAATCCACTCGGGATGGTGGCAAACCAGTGGAAATCCGCTCAGGTTGGAAATCCACTCGGGTTGGTGTCAAACCAGTGGAAATCCACTCGGGGTGGTGGCAAACCAGTGGAAAAGCACTCGGAGTGGTGGCAAACCAGTGGAAATCCACTCAGGGTGGTGGCAAACCAGTGGAAATCCACTCGGGGTGGTGGCAAACAAGTGGAAAACCACTCCGGGTGGTGGCAAACCAGTGGGAAAACACTCAAGGTGGTGACAAACCTGTGGAAAACCACTCAGGGTGGTGGCAAACCAGTGGGAAAACACTCCAAGTGGTGGCGAACCAGTGCAAAACCATTCAGAGTGGTGGCAAACCAGTGGAAACCCACTCAGAGTGGTGGCAAACCAGTGGAAAACTACTCAGGGTGGTGGCAATCCAGTGGAAATCCACTCAGGGTGGTGGCAATCCAGTGGAAATCCACTAGGAGTGGTGGCAAACCGGTGGAGAAAAACTCAGGGTGGTGGCATCCACCGTCCACCGTCCACCGCCCACCGGTGGACCCCGTCCACCGTCCACCATCCACTGTCCGCAGTCCACCGTCCACCGCCCACCGCCCACCGTCCACCGCCCACCGGTGGACGCTGTCCACCATCCACCGTCCGGCGTCCACCGTCCACAGGCGGACCCCGTCCACCATCCACCGTCTACCATCCACCGTCCACCGTCCCCCGTCCACCGGCGGACCCCATCCACCGTCCACTGGTGGACGCCGTCCACCGTCATCCGTCCACCATCCGCCGTCCACCGTCCATCATGCACCGTCCGCCGTCCACCGTCCGCCATCCACCGTCCACCGTCCACCGTCCACCAATCGACGCCGTCCGTCCACCGCCCACCGTCCACTGTCCACCGGTGGATGGTGGACGTCCACCGTCCATCGTCCACCTTCCACCGTCCACCGTCCACCGGTGGACGCCGTCCACCGTCCACCGTCCACTGTCCACCGTCCGCCGTCCACCGTCCACCTGTGGACGCCATCCACCGTCCACCATCCACCGGTGGACGCCGTCCACCGTCCGCCGTCCACCGTCCACCGTCCACCAATCGACGCCGTCCGTCCACCGTCCACCGCCCACCGTCCACTGTCCACCGGTGGAGGGTGGACGTCCACCGTCCACCGTCAACCGTCCACCGTCCACAGTCCACCATCCATCGTCCACCGTCCACCATCCACCGTCCACCGGTGGACGCTGTCCACCGTCCACCGTCTAGTGGTGACAAAGCAGTGGAAGGTGGTGACAAACCATTGGAAAACACTCAGAGTGGTGGCAAATCACTTAAAACCCACTCAAGGTGCTGGCAAATCATTGGGAAACCACCCGGGGTGGTCGCAAACCACTGGGAAACCATTCAAGGTGGTGGCAAGCCACCGAAAAACCACCAAGGGTGGCGGCAAACCAGTGGGATAAAGAAGCTGACTCGCTTCCATCTTGTAGTGGTGGTTCTAATACCCTCTTGATTGTACTCTCTCCAATCATCCCCTGTCAACCACTCAGAGCTCCCCCTCTCCGACCAACGCCTCCATCCCCTCCCCAGCCTGACAGCGCTCACAAGCACCCATTCATTCATTCAACTGACACGTAGGTGGAGAGGTGCCACTTGTTGGCGCCGGAGAACTTGACTAAGAATCTCTTGGTGTACATGTCTCTGCCATCCCTACCCCCTTCCATACTCACTAACCCCCGCAGCAACCACCTCCCCCCCCCCTCTCTTTTCCCCTGGCCCTTCACGCACACGTGGATGGAGAGCTGCCACTTGTTGGCGCTGGAGAACTTGACTTCGAAGATCTTGCCGTACAGGTCCCGCAGCTCCTTGGCGGGCCGCAGCGGCTCCACGAAGCGCAGCAGGCCCTGCTCTGAGGCGTCCCCTGCGCACGGCGCCGCGTGCAGGTCGAACTCGCGGCGCCGCATCTCAATGCCCATCACCAGACCCTCTATACAGGGGGGAGAAGGGGTGAGGTGGGGAGAGGAGGGGTAGATGGCGCATAAATGGGAGAGACGGGGGAGGGGGTAAGGGATTGGGTGGGTTGGGCTGAGAGGTAGGTGCATACATGCAATGCAACGAACACATGCATGTGCATACTAGCATAGAACACAGGCATGCACGCACACGCACAAGCACACACGCAGGAGCGTGTGAGCAGCGTGCACCTGTGAGGAAGATGGCGTTGCTGCAGGCCGAGATGATGAGCTGCAACTTCTGGAACGTGTTTTTGAGAAATCTCAAAAACGCCTTTCAGCTTCTGGAACATGGGAGTCGTAGATGGATCACAGGTGGGCTGCGCTGCAGAGGAATAATTTCCATCAGGCCTTGTTTTGGCATTGCAGGCGTGTGTGTGAGCAGAGAGTGCAGACACGCACCTGTGAGGAAGACGGCGTTGCTGCAGAGCGAGATGACGAGCTGCAGCTTCTGGAAGGTGGGCGACTGCGGCTCGTACGCCGACGCCGCTGCTGGCCCCTTCATCACCTCCTCCCACTCCACTCGATTGCGCGCCACCGGACACTCAAACACCCGCAGGTCGTACCAGCAGTGCTCTGGCACCGGGGAGGCGGGGTAGGGCAGGAGGAGGGGAGAGATTGTGAGAGTGAAGGTGGGGGGCATTGGGATGTCAGAGCAAGGCAGAAATTGTTGGAATTTCAAGGCACGGACTCGAATAACTGATGCACGTGCAATGTGACGGATGTGTGTGGGGGGGAGGGGGGGGAGGGAGACAGGGGGGGGCACTTAGGGGGAGAGGATGGAGGAAGCGGGAAGGGCAGCGAGCAAAGGGAAGAGGGGGAATGGGTTGGAGCGAGGAGGGAGGGAGGATGAGGGAAGGCGGGAGGCGGGGCACGCACGGACGGTCATGCGGTTTTGGGTGAGTGTGCCGGTCTTATCGGAGGCGATGACGGTGCAGGAGCCAAGGGTCTCCACGGACTGCAGGTTCTTCACCAGCACATTGCGCACGTGCATACGCTTGGCGGCCAGCGCCAGAGATACCTGCGCCACACACACCATGCAACATGGAACGTGCAACGTGCAGTGCAGCACACAGCAGCCAGGGCAGTAGAGAGACATGAGGTTAACACTCAGATAAATTTTGGGGCGCCTCACTATATCAAGAGCTCAGCAGCAGCTAAATGATCCCAAAGTCTTCCTCCAGCACTCCCCCCCTCCCCACTCTCACTTCCTCTCCCTGCCTCCCCTCTCTTTTCCATCTCTCCCTCCCCTCTCCTCTCCATCTCTCCCCGCCCAACCCTCCCTCGCCCCCTCAACCCCACCGTGACAGCAGCCAGCAGCCCCTCAGGCACGTTGGCCACAATGACACCGATGCCAAACACCACAGTCTGCAGGAAGGGGTCGCCGAGCAGCAGGCCGATGCCGAAGAAGATGAGCCCCATGACCACGGCCATCAGGCTGATCATGCCCACGAACTGCTTCAGCTCCGCTGCTAGCGGCGTGTCCACTGGAGGCGTCAGCACCGCCAGGCCTGGTCCGGGCAGGGGGGGGAGGATGTGGGTCAGACGAGCCCAGGGGGTTGAGGTTGGAGAGGAGAGAGCATGGGGGGAGGATGATTAGAAGTAGGGAGGGAAGCGAAGGGGGGATTGCGCAGCATGGGTGGAAGGAGGAAGCGGGGAAGCCAGGAGTAGAGGGAGAGAGAGCGCAGGCGGCAGGTGAAGCAGAAGCAGTGCACCTGCGATCTGCCCCATGGCAGTGTTGTCCCCCGTGCCGATGACCACCCCCCTGCCGTGCCCGCTCGCCACAATGGTGGCATAGAACACCAGGTTCGCCGCCTCCAGGGGCTCTATCACCGCGCGCCCCTCCGAGTCCACTGCCAGCTCCGTGCCGCGCTCCACTGCCGCTGACTCGCCTGTCAGCGCGCTGTTGTCAACCTGCCGTGCACGCGCCGGGTGATGGGGGATGGGGGAACAAGGGCAGGGAAGGGAAGTGTGAGGGGCAGATGGTGGTGGGGGTGAGAGCGCGGGTCAAAAGCCAGCTCTGCACGCGCTCCACTGCTGCTGACTCGCCCGTCAGGGCGCTGTTGTCCACTTGTGAGCCATGTACGCATGGGGGAGGTGGAGCGGAGGGAAGGGTAGTGTGAGGCGTAAAAGGTGGTGGGGGGTGAGAGCAGGGGTCAAGAGCCAGCTCCGCTGCTGCTGACTTGCCCGTGAGAACGCTGCTGTCCACCAGACGTGGACGCACGAGGCGAGGTGGAGGCAGGGGGGGGGAGAGTAATCTGAGGAGTAGAAGGTGGTGGGGGGTGAGAGGGGCGGTTGATGGAAAGAAGAGTGGAATGAAATCCTGTTGACTGCAGGGCAGAGATGGTAGGAGAAGAATGCCTCTTTCATAGGTGATGATGGAGTGGTTTTGCTGTCTATTTGGTGGAGAACCTGTCAGCGGCACTCGAGAACCACTCAGGGTGGTGGAAAACCACTCAGAAACTATCCAGGGTGCTGTAAAACACTCTAAAAGCACTCAGGGAGGTGCCAAATCCACGCTGTCGGCTGCTGGCCTCTGTGCCAGCTTCTGGTTGCGGCTGGACGCTGCTGGCCGCTGCTGGCCGGTGCTGGCCGGTGCTAGCCTTTGCTGGCCGGTGCTGGTTGCTGCTGGCCGCTGCTGGCCGCCGCAGCTAGCTGCTGCTGGCCGGTGCTAGCCACTGCTGCTGCTCACTGCTGCCACCCTCCCAACCAATTCGCCCTCTCTAGCTGGCCGCCCTACAGCGAGCAAATTGAACGGATTGGTCTAATCTCGTTTCTGTCAAATCTTTCCATCACTACCCAGCCCAACACATAGAAGCACGATCCCCAGGCAGTGCCCCAAGAGGGGGTGTGGTGTGGGGACTGACCATGAGATCGGTGGCTTCTATGACGCGTATGTCTGCCGGCACCTTGTCGCCATCGCTGAGCTCCACCATGTCCCCTGGCACCAGCTCACCCGCGTCCACCACCTGCACACGCACACACAGGCAGCCACGCACACATGCACACGTGTACACGTGCACACATGCACACATGGCCGTAGAATCACGCATGTGTGTACAACAAGTTGCATGTAGCATACTGCAGAGTTCTAGTGTGCCCTGAAAGACCGAATGGGACAGCGAAAGATAAGGACGAGGTAAAACACAATTGCTGGTGAGTAAGAAAGAGGTAAGGAAGAAGAGTGGGGTGGGAGCACACGCACAATGCAAGGGAATGCAGGAGGAATGGCTGGGCGGGTGCGTGCATCACATCGCATCACATCACATCACATCACATCACATCACATCACATCGCATCACGCATCACATCAGATCGCATCACATCAGATTGCATCACACATCACCTGCACGTGGCCGTTGCGCACGACTCGTGAGGTGGCTGGAATGAGGTGGCGGAACGACTCCATGATGTGCTCTGAGCGCGCCTCCTGCCAGTATGTGAACGATGCCGTCACCACCACCACCACCAGCAGCACTATGCCCAGGTACAGCTGCGGGGGGGCAGGGGGGAGGAGAGGTGGGGGGGCGGGGAGAGAGGGGAGAGAGGGGGCAGGGAGAGGACGAGGGCGCACGGAGGTTGCACAGGCCAGGTGGGAGAGTTATGCAGGATATGCAGGAGAGGGAGAGTTTCTAGGGTGAGAGGGAGAGTTTCTAGGGTGGATATGCAGGAGTCATTGGTGTACGAGGGAGGCGTTGCGGACCAGTGAGGGTGCACGACACATACCAGCCAGCAACCCGACAAAGCGTCGGTGACTAAACTGCTCCTTCCTCTCCTCTGTGCTCTCCCCAGCTCCTCCCTCTCTCCCTCCCATCCTCCACCCTCCCTCACACCCCTCTCCCTCCCTCCCACCCTCCTCCCCCCCTCACACCCATCCCTTTCCCCCTCCCACCACCCCCCCCCTCACGTTCTCCTTGTCGTGCGCGGGGTCGATGCCATACGCCACGAAGCAGAGCGCACTAGCGACAATGAGGAGCAGCGAGAAGAAGTTGGTGTACTGCTGCAGGTACCGCACCCACCACGGCGTCACGTACCCCGGCGTCAGCCGGTTCTCGCCGTACCGCCCGCGGTTTATCACCACCTGCGCCTCCGATAGGCCCTGGGGGGGGAGCAGGGAGAAAGGGAGGGGAGGAGAAGGGGAGGGGAAGGGAAGGGGAAGGGGGGGGAAGGGGAGGGGAAGGGGAGGGGAAGGGGAGGGGAAGGGGAGGGGAAGGGGAGGGGAAGGGAAGGGGAAGGGGGGGGGAAGGGGAGGGGAAGGGGAGGGGAAGGGGAGGGGAAGGGGAGGGGCGGAGGGCGGAAAAGAAGCGTCTCGCGCCATACAGGCAGCAGGTGGTGCAACTGCATACGGCGATGGCACAACCATGTCGGGGATGGAGCATGCGGCACAGATACATTCCAGTTATGGCGCATGCGGAGTCAAGGTAGTGTCAGTGACGTGTGCGGCATGCGTGTGGCGTGCGTGTGGCGTGCATGCGGCGTGTGTGCGGCGTGTGTGCGGCGTGTGTGCGGCGTGCCTGGGCGGGGTCGGTGTGGAAGTGCGAGTAGAGCTGCTCCAGCGGCCATGTGTGCTCCACCTGCGCGCATTGCACCAAGCCACCACGGAATGCACGGTACGGGTCAGCCAGTACGAGCGCGGGGATCGCTATTAATCGTCTGATACCGGTAACTGGTAACTGGTAACTGGTAACTGGTGCCTGGTTACGACGGGTGCGATGCGATGCCGAGGCAAGCCATGGCTGCCGTCTTCTGCTGCTGGCCACCTGCCTCGGCGCTACAATCCCCTCGCTCTAGAATGCGAACGACTCGACGCGGCCCTGCACGACGGCTCGGAAGACGGCTGCATTTGCAAGCACGGACCAACAATGCGACGGGCGACCCATGCCACTGACAACATTTCTTGCCTGCCCTTATCGCCATCACGTCCGCGACACCGCGAAGCCGACAAATGCTCAAATTTGGCGAAAACTAACGCATCGATTGAACGCAGACGTCATCACGCTAAAAATCCAATGCTCACGCTCCTCCGTATACGGCCGCGCTGCGCCTGCTCCTGCATTGGCCCCCTCTTCCTCTATCCACCCCTCCAAGATTCGATTATATATTCTCTATCCCAGACGTACAAACTGAATCTCTTTATGAAGTTCCTTCTGCCGCTGCGCAGCGGGAAGCTCGTTAAGCGGCTTGAAGTGGTCTTTCAACCCCACGCCGTCCCCCTCCGCTGCTGCCGCTGCCGCCGCCGCTGCAGCGGATGCAGCAGCCGCCGCCTTTCTTGCTTTGCCCGCCTCCTTTTCAATCTCGAATACATCCATTGGCGCCGCTAGCGCCTGGAAAAGAGGATATGCCGGCCAGCTCTGGTTGCCTGCTCCACAGTGGGCACCCTAGTCGGCGGTGAGGGTGAGCTGCGTTAAAGTGTGTGTGAAGGGCGGATTTGGAAGTGATGTGCGCGCACCTCGTCAGTCGTAGTCGCCCCTCATCTTGCTGCGCTTTGAAGGAGGTTCTGCCCCACATTCTCCCCAGGGATGGCGGAGGAAATATGTGTACAACTGGCAATACAGTATGTGGTGGGGGAAGGCAAGTGGCTGCGAGGGTCAATGCTGTTTCATGGGTAAGAAAGTGTAGTTGAAAAAAAAAGGAAGGGGTGTGCTAACCTAGGTGCATTAGAAATATACACATGTTAGATGTTGTCTCAAGATACATTTGTACTTATCAATGTCTCATTCCGTTTCCACTCCTATAATATACGTGTAAAAAATAAGCAATGGAACATACATCGTGTATACTCTCCTCATGCATGAACCAGACTAGTTGCATTTCAAGTGGTACAGGGATTGTACATCGTGGGGAAGATGTGAATGGAGCCAAAAGAAGACGTAGGGAATCAGAAATGAATGTGAATATATCGAGTATACTTAAAAAAATTGCATAGTACAAAGTATTGTGATATCACGATGGTCAGTATTACGTGGAGAATCATAAGGTGTTGAAGTATACTCGACAGAGTTTACTTATGCATTCCTAATGTAACACTTAGACTGTACTAGTAGCGCGGTATCTCATATAGAATGACGCGCGTGATGACGTCAGCAGTAGCAATTCAACACGTGAACAGCAGGTTCGCGGGTATAGTCAACCGAAGGGCCACGCCACTCTCAGTCACACAAACAATCACTAGTCGTGTCACGCGAATAATTGCGTTACACTATGAGCAGGTACACTCCGAATAGGTACTTCCTAGACTATAAATATGCGTCTATTACACGAATTATTATTATCCTTGTTATTTCGGATATTTCCAATACAAGGTGTAAAGTCTTCCACTGACTTTAACTCGTGGTTCCACCAACTCTAGATCATGCCCACCAGGGTTTCAAATGTCAGGACAAAATGCCTTGAAATGCTATATAGCAGGTGTTAAAATAGCTAGTCTAGGCTAGAAGGCAGTAAAAGCCGCCATGAATGTGGCGGCGGGGTTTAGCTAGAAGGGTAGGAAAAGTGTCGAAAGAGAAGAGGGTGGGACTTGGAAGAGAGAGGCATATAAGGAGGGGATTGTACCCTCTACAGTAAGGTTTGTCAAGAAGAAAAACTGAACAAGTGTTGAATAGAGAGAGAGAGAGAGAACAAGGGTATATACCTAAGAGTGTTGTACCCTCTAAGAGGTGACCCTATACAGTCTATACAGATATGAGCTATACATATGTTTGACACACTCCTTAGACTGCATAGGGGCAAATCCTGAACAAGCAGCTCAGGGTGGTACTACTAGTCCAGCCACTGAGACAAGGGTCTAAAGACCAGTCAAAAGGAGTACAGGCAAGACAAGAACAAGACCAAGGCAGCACTACTAGTCCAGCCACTGGGAGAGGACACAAGTCCAATCTGAGTACATATATAGATATATATAGGACAGTACAAAGTCAAGGTCCTAGCAAGTGAGAGGCTACAGGAACTAGACCGAGCTGTACACAGTCTCGCTGATGATCTTTAGGCGCAAGCGCCTTCGTAAAGATATCAGCTGTGTTGGCACCAGAGGCCAAGTGAACTACGCGGGCCTGGCAGCGCTGCTGTAGCTCGCGCAGAATGAAGTACCGCAGCTCGATGTGCTTCGCTCTGCCCTCAAGTCGAGGCTCCTGACACAGGAGTATCATGGCCCTGTTGTCAGCGTACAGGACCGGGGCAGAGCTAGGCCGCTCACCTAAGTCTGTGAGCAAGAAGATCAGCCAGCGGAGCTCCTGTGCCGCCATGGCACCAGCGTAGATCTCAGCCTCACAGCTCGACTGAGCAACAGACGACGAGCGAGTGGATCTCCAAGAGATAGCACCCGAACCAAGGCTAAAACAGTAGCCCTTCGACGACCTGAGCGTCTCAGAGTCGTCTGCCCAAGAAGCGTGTGTATGCCCAGTAAGGACCACTGGCCTGCGTCCTCCTAACACTAACCCAATGCCTGATGTACTTGCTAGATATCGCAAAACCCTCTTATCGGGCAACCAGTGCTGTGGTCGGTGTCTGACAGTGGCCACAAAGCGAGCCATGATGCTGAGAGGGTATGCGAGATCTGGGCGAGTGCACGTCATCAAGTACATGAGGCAACCCACCAGCTCTGCGTAGGGTCCACTGGGCTCTACTGGCTCCTCAGGAACAGGAGCGGAAAGCCTGTGGTCTATAGGTAGAGGTGTGGGCTGTGCAGAGGAGAACTGAAGACCGAACCTCTGAAGGACCTGACGCACCAAGTGTGACTGTATCAGAGTGATGGTGCGTGTTGCTCTGTCCCTAGAGATCTCCAAGCCAAGGTAGCGACGCAGCTCTCCAAGATCAGTACAGGTGTGTTTCTTCAGCATCTCGGCCTTCATGGAGGCTAGTGCGTCCCTATCAGCAGTAGCAAAGACCAGGTCGTCTACGTAGACAAGGATGTAGAACGGAGTCTGGCTAGAACGCACAAACAGTGAGGGGTCAGCGGACGACGGAAAGAACTGCAGGTCTACTAACGTGGCCCGCAGCGTGTCGTGCCACTCGCGCGGAGCCTGACGCAGGCCGTAGACCGGGCGCCTGAGAAGCCACTGGATCCCAGGGGGGAAGGTACCAGTGAAACCCTGCGGTCGGCGCAGGTAGACCTGCTCGGGTAGGCTGCCCTGAAGGAAAGCAGTAGAGAAGTCGAGGGAGTGAAGCTCGTAGTCGCGCTGTGCTGCTACATGTAGCAGCGCCCGAAGAGTAGTCATCTTCGGGGTCAGGGCGAAGGTCTGGAAGAAGTCCACCCCCTCGCGCTGGCTGAAGCCTCTGGCCACGTAGCGCGCCTTGAAGACAGGTGGCTCTCCAGGGGGGCGCTTCACCTTGAAGAGCCACCGACCATCGACTACGTTCACCCCAGGTGGGAGAACTGCGTCGACGTAGGTGCCGGTGGACCTCCAAGATGCCATCTCCTGCTCCATGGCAGCTATCCACTGAGAGGCCCAAGGTCCCGAGGTGGCCTCAGCGTAGGTGCGAGGGGTCGGGATGTCGAAGGCGTCGGGGTCACCCTCAGGGACTAACAGCATGGAGCAGAGATGGGGAGCAGCCTCGGAAAGGAAAGCAAGCTCGTACTGCCTGTCCTCTAGGACGTCACTGCCAAGGGCAGGAGCACCCCCGACGGACGGAGGACGGGCAGGGTTTGAGACCAGAGCGGTAGCGTACTCAAGCCGGCGGGTGGAGGTGAAGTCAGCGACAGCAGCGACAAGCGCGTCAAGGCACGAGACAGGAACAGAAGGGTCGGTAACAAGGGAGGCAAGAACCCGAGGGACAAGAGGACGAGCGGCACGGAGGTAGTCCGAGAACGGAGGAGGCGCAACAGCAAGCGATGAGGGAGGAGGGGAGGGAAGGAGGGGAGGACGAGACGAGTGGGAATGGAGCAACATAGGGTGAGAGCGCAGGACAGGAGAGGCAGGACGGGCACGTGAGGGACGGCGAGACCAAACGTGGGACGGAGGGGTAGGGTCAGGAGACAGTGGAGGGGACACAGCAGGAGAACGAGGAGGAAGACGGGCCGGAGACGAGTTCGGCGACGGGAACACCGGACCGTAGACCGGAAGGTCAGCAAGCGGCGGGGGAGACACCGGCAAGTGGTCCGGGGAGGGAAGGCCGAGCAGGCGGAGAGCAGAGACCGGCGGCGACGGCTGCTGCGGCTGCTGCGACGGCTGGGCCGGAACCCTCGGACCGGCAGAGGCAGGACGACCGTCGGCGGAACCCTCAACAGCAGCACCCCCAGAACCAACACCCCCAGAGCGAGAACCCTCTCCAACACCAGCGGCACCCTCAGAGGCCGAGAGCGGCAACGACGACTCCGGTGGCGGCGGCGGCGGCGGCTGCGACAGGGGAGGCGAGGACACCGGGGAAGGGGGCACGGCAAGGATGGGCCGGGGGTACCACCAGAGTCAGGGGACTCCTCAACGGGGACAACCGACGGGAGGGGAGTAACGTGAGAGACACCAAACGGGGCAGGACGATGCGGGAGGGGAGCAGGGGCTACCGGGAGAGAGGGAGCAAGGAACAGGGGCGGGGCAACCGGGAGACCTCGGTGAGGGAAGCGGCGGTAGAAGGAGACAGACTCGTCAAAGGTGACGTCACGAGAGTGGAGAAAGCGGTGAGACGGCGGGTGGTAGAAAAGCCAGTCAGACGAGTCTGGGGGGAAACCGAGGAAGACACAGGGGACAGTGCGGGCAGTGAGCTTGTCCATACCAGAGGCACGAACGTGAGCAAGGCAGCCCCAGACGTGGAACGCAGACGCGTCACCGGGGGACCCTGTCCAAAGGAGGGTCGGCGAAACCTGCGGCCGCTGGGAGCGTGGCCACCGGTTAAGCTGGTGGGCAGCGTAGCGAACAACGAACGGCCACAGAAAATGGGAAGCACCGGCATGAATCATGGAGGTACGGGCGAACTCCATGACCAAGCCGATGCGGCGCTCAGCAACCCCATTCTGCTGTGGCGAGTCCGGCAAGGTGTACGACTGGGTGATGCCCTCCGCACGACAGAACTGTCCAAGCCGACTTGAGGCGAACTCGCCGCCACGGTCAGAGTGGAGACACAATACGGGGAGACCGCGGTGAAGACGCGCAGCCACAACCCACGGGAGAAGAACGTCGGGAACGTCGGCCTTCCGCTCCAGGGGAAACACCGTGGTGTAGCGCGTGTAGTCATCGACGAGCACAAGAAAGTAGCGCTCACCGCGCGGTCGGGGGACAAGGGCAGGGCCCCAAAGGTCCAGGTGCAGGGTCTGAAGGGGGGCAGTAGCCGGGCGCAGCGAGGAGGAGTGTGGGGCACGGCGGAGCCGGCCCTCGATGCAAGGCGTGCACGGTGGCGCAGTCGAGGGCGGAAGGGCGGGGAGCGCCGCAGGGAGACCTAAGACAAGTCCGTGCTGGGACATGTGACGCAGACGAGGGAGAGCAGGGTGACCTAAGCGGTGGTGCCAAAGAAGGGACG